AATTTTTTTTTTTTTTTTTTTGACCACGACCCCCCCCCCCAATCTTCTTTGTTATTCATGTGATTCTGGTATATTTTAATCTATTTTGCTATATGCTGAGAGCTTTTCTAGTTATTGCTGGCCAATCTTGTTTTCTTCAAAGCGTTAAGACAGCCTGTGGAAATTTTTAGAAGCACCCTCTTATCTTTTGAATAGTATGGAATAATGTATTGGGTGCTTTTCAGGGTCAGAATGCCAAATAGTGGGTCAGGTCACTCGGTCAGCTTTATCAATAGTAAGATTTCCAAATGGCTGTCTTTACTCAACACATTTTTTCAGTGATAGAATGAAGTTTAAAAGCTTGTCAGTGATACCATACTTAATAAAAATTCACCTTTTTATATGCATCTTAGCATCTCTAGTTTTTCTCCTCAAAAGAATTGCAACGAATTTCCTTCTCCAACTTAGGATCAGACTATTTTCTTTCTTCTCTTAGCTAAGATTGCTATTGCATTTTTTGCCACCCTGTTCCTTCCCCCCCTGTCAGTTGAGGGGGAAAGGGTAAAAAGGATGGAACCTCAAGCGTTCTTACCAAGCTAAACATTTCTTGTCTAGACTTCTGACTAATACTTCATGTCTGCACCAGATTTAGCACTACCCTGGCTTCAGGCTGCTTTTCATTATTGCAGCTTTCCGAAGACATACTGATAAAATATTATCCATCTTATGATAAGAAAACTTAAATGCTCAGTATTTTTGCTAAAATTATGAACTTTTACTAAATCTTTTCCTGTAAGTGTTATATAATAGATGGTAAAAATATGAATTGGCTTCTTGAATTAAAAAATATCATCCATACCTGCAGTACGTGTTCTACGTGAAATTATTCTAAAAGATCCCTTTACAGTGGTGTTATACAGTGCAGCGATAAAATATTAACATATAGCTACATCTGTGAAGACAGATTTTCCAAATCTATTAAAAATTAATTGAAAATATACCTGATCATAACAAACATTCCTTATTTAAATAACCATATCTCAGAGAGTTACTGCTCAATTTTGAGTGGCTTTGGTAGGATTACTGGTGTTAATGTAGCATTCTGGCAATGTATGACTTAATCATGCAATTGTCATATTTCTAGGACTTTGTCACAAATATTCTGAAATGATTTTTAGTGCATCCAAAAGTGTTCTAACCTTAGGGATTTTTAAACTGTTCTTAAAATAAGGCTCGTTATCCTTGCACTGAATTGATTTTTTTCAGCTGTTAGGTTTACTTGGTCATCAACAGTTATGTAAGTTTGATTTGCTTATATTTAAAAGAGTTTTCTTTCCTGGCTGGTAAGCACTAAACAGAGAACTGGCCATCTTTGCCAGTAAACACTGTGGACAATGAAAAAATTCTTTTGGAGGAAATAAGCACACTAGAAATCTTACCTGAAATGTTCCATATTTCAAAAATGTAATGCTTTGTATTATGTTGTCAGGTATTATAATTTATTTCACAATATGAAAATAGCTTTGAATTATCAATTATGCAGACACTTATATTCATGTAATTTGTAAAAAATCTTAAAAAATGTTTAATGGCTATTGAGCCTTGAATGAAAGTCCCATCTAAAGCATCTGTATATTCCACTTCAGTTAGTATTTAAAAGCTAACAAATTCTTATCTGTCTGTAAATCACATGCTTGTATAGTGCTTGGCTGTTTTCCTTGATCTATTTAATTTGCTACTTCATAGTTTAAGTTCTTCAAGACAGGAATTGTCTCGCTTTCTGTCCTTTCTCCCCTTCTGTCAGTAGAGAGGCTAATTCAAAGGTTCTAATGATGTCTGAAATGCTGAGATTTACTGCAATAGAATGTATTCAAAAGAGCAGCAGGGCTGTATAATTACTCTTTTAACAGTTTCTTATGCCTTAAAATATTTCTTTGTTTATTTTTTTAAACAAGTAACTGAACTTTAAGCATTTTAGATAACAAGCCTGTCCCAGTAAGCCTTAGCATACAGTAATGGTGTAGTTGTATATAAAAAGGTATGAATATATAAACAGGAACACTTTTTATGTTTTATTAAATACCAGCTGCTAAGAATTCAAAGACCTTCAACTTTGTTCTACTGGAGTGGATTGTTAGGTACAGTTTGTACATAAATCTAGTCTAAAACTATGACTTTTATTAATTTTTTTAATGCTGTTTTGAAAAAGTAGAGCAAGGGTTGGGTAGTCTTTTTGAAGTTGAAGATACAGTTTAGCTGATATGTTTGGGATGTTACTTGCCAGTGGTAAAGCTTATTAATAAAGTAAATGACTCATCCTACTGTGTATTTTAAAACAGGTGAGGCTAATGATAAGGATGTTCAGGTGGTGGAACTTCCCATTGTGGACAGCTTACATCCACGGCCACCTTATTTACCTTTGGCTATCCCCGAAGACCTGGCAGATAGGCTAATTCGTGTACATGGGGATCCTGCAGTGTGGTGGGTGTCGCAGTTTGTGAAATACTTGATTCGTCCACAGCCTTGGTTAGAAAAAGAAATAGAAGAAGCGACGAGGAAACTTGGTTTCAAACATCCAGTGATCGGGTGGGTATTTAGTTTTCTTTTTAACAGTTTGTGCTTTAATATGTGTATATAGTGATTCCTGTTCAGGGCAAATTGTTTTATGATGGTTATCCAAGAGACTCAAACATTTTGTGGGGAGAGAGGGTGCTTTCTAGATGAAGCTATAGTTTTTAACTGCGCGTAGTACAAGTTGGTTACAAGTACTTCTTCAGCATACTTGCCTACCTATAGTTGGACAGATATATAACAGGCGGCTAAATAGAAGGGGTTTTTATATGTCCTTCCATATCTAGTAATGTAATACAGAATACATGTAATTGCCTTACAGCTTGTATTCCAGACACTTTTCTGTCTGGGTCTTCTTTTCAAGTGCCTATAGCCTTTGCATTTGAGGAAAAAAGGCTAAGCCTACATTTCGCATGCCACAATCCACAACTAATTTTGTTGTTGGCTGCACCTGAACATGGTATGTGCCTTTCCCTTTCCTGCTGATGTTTTCACTATTGTTGTTTCTTAGCAGTAACTATGAGTTGGAAAGGTCTGTATGGGGAGATATGGGGAGAAGGACGGAGAGCACCTATGGGCAATAAAGAGCAGCTTGTGGAAGGAAGGTTTTACTGTCACATAAAGTGAAAAATGCTTCTGCTGTACTAGAGTCTGCAAATACTGCTTTCTTTGCCAGAATTTTCCTTCAATCCTTAATCTTTCTTTTTGTAGGAGTACACAATAGGTCTGTCCAAATGTTAGTTGGCTTTTGACCATTGAGTCGATAGGCCGCTTCACCACTGGCGGATCTGAAGACTTGTTAGGTCTCAAGCAGATGGGGAAGATGCATTTTTAACTACCTTCATTCAAACCCTGCATTGTAGTTGCTGTCCCAATATATCCATGATGCAAATATTCCTATTTTGCTTTTGAACTGTATTGATCAAGCAATACCTAACTACACCGGGTAACATAACCTTCTGCACAAAAGGAATACCTTGTATGCTATAATTAAATCTCCTTCATTCTTTTATTTCAGTTACCCTTTGCCTTCCTTGCAAGATTATTATATTACTTTCAAGAACAGATTGACAGCTAACTTCATGTTGTCAGTGTGTCTTGAGGGACATCAATGAGTTTTAATCCTTCCTTGTTTTATGTAGGGATTCAATTTCATATGCATTCTAAAAGCACAGGCATGAAATTTGAAGTTAAAATTTCAGTTGCTAACATATGTATTGTATTTATAAATTGAATTCCTTGTTTCTGCCTTTTTCCAGTGTTCACGTCCGAAGGACAGACAAAGTAGGAACAGAGGCAGCATTTCATCCCATTGAAGAATACATGGTACATGTTGAAGAGCGCTTTGAACTTCTTGCTCGCAGAATGCATGTTGATAAAAAAAGAGTGTATTTGGCTACAGATGACCCTTCATTGTTGCAAGAGGCAAAATCCAAGTAAGATGAATTATGTTTGCATTATAGTTTGTTCCTTCTGGTTAGCTTTACAATTTCTGACTATTGTGCACACAAATCTTAGTATTGGTTTTTTTCATTATCATTTTTACAGTTAAGATTGCATTTCAGCTTCCAATGATTTTGTTTTTTCTCCCAGACATTCTCTTTTTTGGATGATTTTTCTCCCAAGTATGCTTTTCAAAGCTTCATGTTAAAAATTTAGAAGAGTTGAGCAAGATACCTGTGTCTATTTAAAAACAAACCAATGCTGTAACAAGGAAGTAAATACATAAATAATAAATACACCAAACTTCTTGTAGAACATACACATTAAAAAGAAACTATTCAGCAATATTGTAAAAACTAGTTAATGTATTAAGAAGTTTCACCTGTCCAAACAATACCTTTCTGTGAATAGCTGCCACAGCAATTTTTCTAAGTTGGTTGAAAAGCTTCTAATGGCTCTTTCAGAAAGATTTCTGTATTGACAACTTAGATGACTTTCACCTTACATGTTGAATAATTTTAAAGTTTGTCCTTAAATATATGTGGGATTCTTGATCTGTAGCATTGTCTCTGTCCCTTTTTTGCTCTTTGTCCTCTTCTAGCTTTCCAGAACACAGGTGTAACAACCTACCCTAGCTATAGGATATCCCAGCCTGTCATAGAAAATATAACTGTGTTCAAACCCAGAAATGGAGAGTATGCATTCATTTACTCCTAACATGGCCTGTACTTTGCTATAAAAACTCATTGTTAAGTTGCATGTTTTGCAAGGTGTCACTGAGATGGCAAAACCTTCTGTTTAGTAAAAGGTGGCAGATGCGTATGGAAGAGTAATGTTCTATATTTAACTGTATCTTTCTTGGGTTATGGTGTTCATCGTGTATAAACAATTTCAAAAATGCTTATTGCCATGACTATGGAAACTTGGTTAAGTATTTCAGATGCATTGAATTTAAGCGTATTCATTATCGAGTACAAGTTAGCATGTTTTCCTTTTGAGTACTATTTATCTGTTTACTGAATAGCACCTATTTCTGTTTCCAAAATTTTATCTCCCTTGAGCAGAAGAATACATATTTTTCATTTAAGCAAGGGAATTAATACTTTTTAAAATCAAGGTAACCCAAACGTGGCAAATTTTTGAACTGTTTTATTCTTGGTAGACATGCTTGGAAAAATATATAAGATAACGTACTGGATTACAAAGTAAGCAGAGAATGTTATTTTGTAGTAGAGGAATTTTCTACAGCATTTCAAACCTGTGTATTTCAATTGTGCTATTTCTATTTTTCTTTCATATCTATAAAGGGCTGCTGTTTAAAATTATGGAGTTTTGAAAAAACTAAATGAACATACACAATGCCAGATGATGGCAATCTAATCCTTCCTTTTTTGTATATGTAGAGACAAGAACAGTAGCAGAAACAATTATGATAACATAACATTTAAAGTGCAAATCTGAACAATGAAAAGACAGGTAATACAAAATTGAGGTTATAATATTTAATTCATTACATTGTCCTAAATAACTTTACTTACTGTTTGTAACAGAACAGAATTCAGTATTGCTTTAACAATCTTAGTTATTAATTTTTTTCTATATTTGCATTCAACTTTCAATGCTTAGCACTGTGTACTTTAGCTTTGTGAATAATAATGAGATGCACTACCTATGTGAACACATTGTCCCAAGTTTTCAACAGCAACAAAAACTAATAGTAGCATTGTGACTTGCTCAGTAAAACAGTACTGAATTTTATTAAGCGTTGCAGTTTCTGTGGCGGTTCAAGGTCCATTCAAAATCACATTTTTACTGTAATAGGATAAGATATATCTCATTAGTACAGCATTCATTTTGTACATTTTCTTAGTAAAAGCCATAGAATCTGTAAGTAGTGAATAATTTTTTATGTGTTGCTGCTGACTTTTCAGGTCATAGTTTATACTGAAGCATAATTTCCTAAGTTGCTTGCAGCCTACTGTTGCTTGCAATTGAGTAGAAGGCATTTGAAACTTCCTGTGATTTCATAGAAGGCAGGATGCAATTTGATGTTTGAGCATTTAAGGGCATCTGAAGGCAGGTTAAGGTCAGGTTTTGGAATAAAGAACCTTTTCTTCCTCTTCTTGTGAAGAAAACTACAAATCAGTTTACACTTCTGATAAAAAAAGTTCTAGTCACATTGAACTACCAAACTTTGATAGAAACAGCTGTGTCACATTGTATTGCACTAACTTATCTTTCATTCATTATTGGGTACAGTAATATTAGTAAGTACTAGATATTATATCTCTCTTTACATGAGAGTGATTGGCTGTCAAACAACGTTGGCATTTAAATAATGAAAATTTAGCCAACATTCCCATGAATAGGCATGTTCTTTCTATTGAGAGGTATTTTGAACTATTCAGTCATGAAAACAAATGTTTTGACTGAAGTTTCAGAAACTTCCCTTGCAGTCAGAGGTCTACCTGCAAGTACAGTAGGAAAGATAGTGGAGTCAGTACTATCAATCTGTATAGTGGTTTTGTTTGTTTTGTTTCCTGAAAGAAAGTAGTGAGTGATATATTTTCAGAATTAGGATGACATAGAACAACGTGATTGGAGAGGAGCATGGTTGAGAGTTCAACAGCTGTGATGATTATGGGGTTAAAGCGCTTGACAACTGCTGGTAAGCAGAGGTCATGGTATTTGTGTTAGATAAGTGATATATTAGGGATGGTGTAAATTGCTTGTTCTTTGGCTGATTTAATAGTTTTCAAATATGAATTTATGAATTTCAAATATATGTATTTCTCATCTATAATATTATTTACAGCATTGTCTCTCTTTAAGGTAGAGTAGTCAAAATAATGCAGCTGAACATGCACATAAATTCTTAAGAAACCATATTTAATACCTTTCTGGTTTATATATAAATCTATTTAGGTCTCTTTCTCATGTATATAAGCACTAAAGTTCAACAAATTACATTGTTCCTTTCAGAATGTTTACCTGTAAAGTCATCTGTATTTTGCTTTTTCATTTTTTTGGCAGTAATTTGCCTCCCTCATGAGGGTTTTTTTCAACACTTATGAAAGCTTTTTTTCCACCCTATTTCACTGTTTATTTACGTCCACAGTAGCAAGTTAATCTCTTTTCTCCCTATTGTACTATCCGTAGTAGCTGTTGAATCCCTCCTCACCCCCGAGTCATAGCATGCGTGATACATAGAATTCAGTAGTGTTTCAAAGTTCTTGAGTCTGATGAACAGCTCATACATTTTCCAATTCTTTTTAGAGCAAGACCTGAATAAACACATTATTTCTTACTCCATCTGTTGACACAAATGCTCACGCTCTTCTTTCAGCAGGGAAGAAAACTTGTATTGCCTGTTCTGGACACTTCCCCGGTCCTAGCAAATTGAGAACAGGAGCCTGGGACTTGCCTTGGTTTGCACGTGCCGCACAGGGTAGCTATAGTTACACAACTTGATCAGCTTCTGAAACCAACTGGGACTTGAAATAGCCTCATAACTGTGTTTGGTTTGTATCCTTATCTGAGGCTGGTAGGTGCAAGAAGGAAAGATTTTAAACTATCTCTTCCCTACCTTCTGATTTCTTCTTTTCCCTTTTTCCTAAAGGGGGAAAAAAAAAATCCATTCTGCCCTGTATATAGGTTTCAAGAATCTATTAGGTAGTTTTAAAAGAATTAGATATTAGTTCTAGATATGTGGAGGAGATTTACTACATATATGTAGTCCGATACAAAGAGAACAGTATTATGCTAGTTTCTATTCTTTGGTTTTATCTTCACAGTCTGCTTCTTTCCTGTTATAGAGGAGAGAATGTGTGGGTAATTTCTTTGGAAAGCTAGGAGGGATCCTACAAAATACTGTATTTAGGTGATTCTTTCAGTAAGAATACGACATCTTATTATTTATTATTCATTTACCAGGCATTCAGGAATCCTAGTAATAGGATCGTGCCTGAGTTCTGCTTAAAAGAAAAAAAATTCCCCAAAAGCTTAAAATGTAAGTATTACATTAATCATAATATAAATACAGATGGAAAAGGGAATAGAAGGAAGCAAGAGCTAACTATAGAGCTTTAGAAGTTTCATTTCCTTTATTCTTTGTAGTCATTGTGGTAAGAATAGCTTTAAATAGAATCTAAAGCATTATAGTGAGTAGGAAGGAGAATGAAACCTCACCTAATGCAGGAAGTCAGTGGGCTACATATGGCTAAGCTTGAGAGGAGTATAGGCTTGGCCTTTTACTGTATTTTTCTTTATGCTCTGCTTTCAGCCTGTGTTGGAGACAGGATGGTGGACTAGGAGATTCTTTGGTCACACTGAGTATGGCTGCTATTATACTCACATTTTAGGCTGTTTAAAAGATACCTCTTTTCCCAAGCACTAATGTAGCATTGTGTGTGGGGGACAACATAAAAGTGCTTGTTTGAAAACTTAAACATGTGAATAGATAAATGCCAAGCTTGGATCACTGGTTTGAAGAAATGGTTTCTGAAACTGTTGGTTAGGTGAATTTGGATCAACTTTACAAAATAGTATTGAAGACCAAATTTAAAAGTATCTAAAAGGCTGTTTCCAGAATAAAGGGAAGAAGGAGAAAATTTTAAATGTATGCATAAGAAGATGTGTAAATAAATCTGATATTTGTTTTTAACCAGATCCAATATGACACTTTTTTTGGTGTGCTTAATTTGTTAAGTTATTTGACTGATCTTTTGCTAGTAAGAAATCAGATTCTTCAAGAAAGGTTCTGTTGTCTGTACTCAGCACATGGATTCTGATTTTTGAACTCTGAAGGAAGTGATTAATTTTAGCAGTATTCCTGATGCCAAGAACTTGCAAAAGGGTGTGCAAATATCTTTACTATATTCACTGTTCCTAGAAATGACATCTTCTGTTAAATGTTCTTCATGTTGCTCCCCTCAGAGTTGTGTCACTGAAATAAGACTGATGCCTATCTCTGTTCCTCAGCTAGTTTTCACAGTAGAGTATGACATATTTCTGTTTGGTCTGTACTTTTTTTCTTTTAAAAAAATACTAATATGATTCACACAATGGAAACAGAAATAGAATATATCACAAATATTGTGTTGTCATCTGTTGTATTTTGAGAGGTGGTTAAATATTGACGAAAAATGTTAAGATGTGAGAAGCTAAGAAAGAAAATGATGACTGTGATAGAGTTCATCTTGAAAAAACTATTTCTTGATCCATATGCTTCTATAATTTCTCAGAAGAGGTCTTATCAGTTATTCAAAATTAATAATATTTCCACCTTCTCTTCCTTTTTTTGTTTTGTCTGTTTTGTTTTGTCTTTGTTTTAATGTAACATGAACTTCCCCTGACATTCATGATCAGATGCACCCTTTAAAGTTGTCATGCTATCTCTGGGAAATTTACCATACATATATTATTTTTTGTTAGAGCAGGTGTTTCTCTTGGGAACATAAAATGCTATTAAAATAATTATGAAGATAAATTACAATTCTTCCTCAAATGTGGAAGTTTTGCATATGGCTTTTTGATTTGCTCTTGAGAGAGATTTCCTGATTTGGTAGCCACAGCTAGTGAATGTTAGATGGAAAAGCCTGCTATATTTGCCCGCTTCACTTTTGAAAACAGTTTTCCCGTAGTTTTAACATTAAAATGGAATCAGTTAGGCATATTCTTATAAGAGACTGTCATAATCATGTCTACTGTGCGTCCAGAGTGTATGCACATGCTGTGTTGTTGTATACAAGTGCATGCTAACTTCAGTAACTTTCGAAGAACTAGTGAGTGTAAACCATATTTTGAGCAATGTTCAGCACAGGACAGTCAGACTTTGAAGCATTTAGTTACAGGTCTACGTTCTTATTGCTCCAGCATTATGGCCAGCTCTGTATTCTGATTTTCTTTATTAAACAGTATAAGAATGATTAGTTCTTACAAATGTAATATTAGCTGCCTTACTATCTTATGTAATATATTGCTTTATAATTGCTATGAAGTTGTAAATTTGAGAAATAGATTTTATTTAAATTGTTTCATAATTAGCCCTGTAGTTGAAATTTTGTACTTGGCAGGTTAGTCACATGAGTTGCACTTCATGATTGAAATATAATTATTGTGTAACAGCAATCTAATTATCATCTTTGTTACATCTACCTTGAATTTTTCATATAAAACTTAATTTTGGTAGGAGGGTGACTGAAAATTTAATTAATTCATGCTGCTTTTTGCAGTTTATTTCAGATTTCAGTTCCCCAGTAGAGGGGTACAAATGTTTTGAGAAAGACCATTCTTTTTCAACATTTTTTAAAAGGATTTTTTTTCTTTCAAAGTCATTGTTATATGTTAAAAACTTTTAGTTTTATTTTTAAAATAATATAAACCAAGGTTTGGTTTTGTATTTCAAATAAAAATACTTTAACTTAAAGTATTAATATTTTGTTTATGATATGTCAAGAATGATGTATTGACATGAAATTTTACATTTATTTCTTTTCGACCAGTAAATTGCAAAATTTGTTCTCCATGCAGCCTTAATAACTGTGAAAGACTTTTTTTGTTTGTTTTGTTAGTTTATTTAATATGTCCTTTTTACAGGAGACTGATTTTCTTGCACAGTGTCATAATTAGTATCTAATAGAGAGTATGGTAATAAACAAAATGTGGTCTAGTAAAGACACAATCCTATATTCTATTTAGCAGTAGAGCAAGCAAAGTGATCTTATATTTCATCTAAAATAAGTAGCATTAGCAGAATGTGGGATATACTTCCTGATATTTTTTCACTTCTTTTACAGTGTTAAATCCCCGACAGACTTACAGTGTCTTTTTATTTAATTTTCTTTTTTTCTGGAGAAGAGAGGGCATGCTTGGAGGCAGCAGTAACATTCTAGACTGTTCAGCAAAATTACAATTCATTCCCTGTAAAGCAGAGACTTGCTTAAAACAAATTAACAACCTTATTTTGCAGCAAAGATGATGCTTCTTTAAAAAAAAAAACAAACAAACCAAAACCCAAAAACCTTTGCTATTAACAGTCTATTGTATTTTCACAGGTATCCAAATTATGAATTTATCAGTGATAACTCCATATCCTGGTCAGCAGGACTTCATAACCGATACACTGAAAACTCCCTAAGAGGTGTTATTCTGGATATTCACTTTTTGTCTCAGGCAGACTTCCTGGTCTGTACATTTTCATCCCAGGTAAACAGCAATACAAATACAATGTAGAGTATATGTACCAGTTCTAAATCTTAGTTTTCTTCATGCTCCTGTTATCTTATTTTCAGTGTTCTTTCATGAAAACTTCAGGGAAGAAGTAAAGGCTGGGTATGCTATGTGAACATTTAGAGGACTGTAAGCACTAGTTGATTACTTCAGTGGAAGTTACTGGCTTAATTAAGACATTTGAAATAAGCAAGACAGAATACTAAACATGTTTAAGAGTTCCTTGTTTTGCATAAAGTTAATGTATAACTTGTATTCATCCATTTCTATGCAGCTTAGTTAAGGCATTTGAAATAAGTAAAAAAAATTTTAAACGTCTTTAACACTTCTTAATTTCGCATTAAGTTAATATGTAACTTGTGTCCATCCACTTCTACACATCAGTGCACTCTGCTACAGTTCAGACATGCCTGCTGTTGCCTTAGTTGATTGTGCGAATGGAAAAGAATGAGGAAAGCAGACATTTAATTTCTCTACAGTTGATTACATTTCTAGCAATCCAGCAGCAGCACAATAAATGTGAATTCTGACCACTGCAATCTGTAGAGACTTCTTGTTGCAGATAATTATATGCTACAAGCTTCCTTTCTTGAGTGGTCTGATGAAGCAAGTTGGAGTCCATTAGAAAACTGAATCATATACTTGTCATCGTTGGCATTTTCTTCTTTATTATGTCATATTGTATATTAATTTCATATATCACGAAAAACTTTTAAGATTAAAAATGATGAAAAAACAGTATTTTATGACTGATATGCTGATTCAAGTATGGCAAAATATGATTGAAACCAAACAGAGTGAATGTTTTTTACCTACTGTTGTCATATATGCTCTTAGGTGACACTCTGGTTACAAAAGCATTCAACTATAGATGGCGATAGATTATGATCATGCATGATTGTACTGTTACATGGAAGTGGACAGAAACCTGAAAGTTAAAATTAACTTCAAAATGAAACGTTTTCCACAGCCTCAAATGTAAATTGTCTTCTGTACTGTAATGACAATTAGATAGGTAACAAGCATAATATTAATATGTGATCAATACAGTGATATATTGACCTTGACATCCAGAATTCTTAATAACATTACCATGGCAAGAAGACAGCAAAACCAGAAAAAAGTATAGAAAAGCCTCTTATCCTTCAATCATGCTTGTGGATACATTTTTTTCACTGTTCCCCAAACCCTGTGAGGAAAATGGCATTTTATAGCATATTTAGAAGGTTATTAATATAGGCTACTACAGACCAAGACATGAATAAACTCCAAAGTAAAAATCCTCATTAAGAAAAGCTCTTGAGGAGCCATCCACTTTTATAATAATGTTTGATTCAGCTAAATTATGTCCACTGAAACATATCACAGTGAAAGAGGTAATCATCAGCTAAGACCTAGGGCTGTATGTCTTAAATGCCACACATGCATTGGTGTACAGACAGTTCATATTCTGAAGGAAGAACTCTCTGGTCTTGGATAAAAACTTAATAAATCTGTAACATTTTCTGCTATTATTATATTCAGGTAACTGTGTTAAAAGTGGTAAATTTTGCTTTTGATAAAATACTGGGTGTAAACATAGAAGAAACATTTAAATATACAAATGGCTTGGACAGAATATATGGTAATTGAATTGTAAGTGTTGGAGTCATTTCAAAAGAAGAATATATGTTAAAATCCATTGACATAGTTATGGTGATACAAGTTGATGGGGACCTCTGGAGGTCATCTAGTACAACCGCTTTTGAGGGTACCTTTGAGGTATGTGGTATCTTTGAGCTCTGGTCTCATTTTGCATCTCCCTGAGTTTTACAATAGACATGTTTGCTGGATGACATATTTGGTTTTCCAGAGTTGCAGAAAATTCTGCTAAAGTCCAGGAAATCCTGTATTAGACTGTTACTCTCAATAGCCGGGACTATGAATTTGGTCCAACCATCTGCTTAATTTATTCTGGACAATTTCTTGTGCTTTCATAATTCAAACTCCTCAAAAATCATTTAGCACCAGTTTTGCTGGTCATGCAACAATGTGGATCTCTACAGCATTTTCATATATTGGGCTTTTCTAAGGTCTGTTGCAAGTTTTCCCACTGTTCAGAAAGATTTCTCTTCTACGGGTTTAAAATTTGATCCTCTGATAAACATTTGAACTACTATCCCTGCCCTTTCATCAATGAAATAAACAGTTTGGTGGTTACTTTGGCATTGAATGTAAGCAAAATCAGGCTGTTAATAACCATCTTTTGTCCAATCTCTATGAAGAGAAAGTAAGGATAAGAATGTAGTCTAATTTATTTCCAGTGTGATTTTGGACTTTCACATTAATCAATTGCATGCTGGCTCTTTTCCATTTTCTTTTCCCTGCCAAAAAGTGTCAAAACTTCATTACAGAGGTATTAAGAGAAAATTACAGTATATTTGAATAGAATTGGGCGCTTTAGGAAGTCCCCTATATTAATTCTGATTTATGCTACTAAAACTAAATGAATACTGAAACAAGCTGAAGAATAGACGTTCATTAAAATACTGTTGTTAAAGAAATCATGCCCATCAAGTGATGTAGAGTCAAGGGAAACAACCTACCTTGGCACTGTGTTTCAGCAACATCACATTAATTGAGATGTATGGAAAAGTCACGTGGTAGTTACACAAATCATAACACAGTAGCAGAATTAAGATTGCATGTTAAAACAAAGAGCTTTTTTGTCTCTTCAGTCTTTATTTAGATGAAATCGTAGCTCCCTCTGCCTGACATATTTTTCTTCATAATCTCATTTCCTTCCAGGATTTTTTAGTCTTTGTATTTTGCCTTGTACATTTAAGTAAGTATACAGGCTAGAAAACAAGTGAATTCATGAATAAAAAATGTGAGGCTGTCTTTAATTATAATCCTGCATGTGGATTCTTTGCCTACTGCCCTCAACAGCTTACGGTTTAGTTACCCAGGTTTGGCACTACAAAGGAAACAATTGCTGAGAGGAGATGTTGTAACTTTTATGTCAGGTATGCAGGACACTTTCACTAAAAAGCATTTCTACTGAAAAGATTTAAAGTCTTTTAGAGAGTGTGTGTGTGTATCCTCCTTCTGGGGTGTGCACACATGCAGAGAACAAAATATTAAAAACAGTCACAGAAGCTATAAAATAAATAACCTCTTACCAATGTGTGGGTAATCAAATTTGTTTCTATATTATGGGTTATAACAAGTACTTTGAAATAATTAACTTCAGCCTGATCTTCTGAAAGCTACTTCTGAAAAACTATTTCAAAGATCAGATGGAGAGGGATAAAAGGAAATCTATCACATTTTTAAAGCAAATGCCTCTCTCAAAGAAGCTAGGAAAGTACAAATATGTCTAGTTTGACTGATCAAAGTTTTATTCACCATATCTTCAGAGGGAAAAAAGTAAAATCAAGCTTTACTATATTTACATAGACTGAAAATTATGAAAAAGCTCAAATGCTTCTTTGTATTGGAGAAGTCTGCTGTATTGTTAGTTTTTCAAGCTTTATCAAGCTTACGCAAAATCAGAGAAAGATACAGTAATGTAGATTAGAAGTCAGAAAGGTCACAGTGGCCAAATCAGACACCTGACAGAGAAGAGCTTTCTAGCCAATTGTTGAAAAGAGCTTTGTTTAATATAGTGGCAGCCTTTTGTGTTTCTGGCAGCTCTGAGATACATGACACGATTCTGATGTGGGGACCTGGTTTCAGTCTGAAGAAAATTCCCTTCATAAAATGTGATACAATACCACTTTAAAATGTATCTTTCTCCTCACCAACATCATTATTGTCTTGCTGGAATTCAGTTTCATGTAGTTGTCTTCTGTTGCCAACAGTCATAATTCTATCACTGTTCTAATATTAACAGTATTTTAAAGCCTTGAACTTCTGGAACTGCTTGATTGTGAAAATTGGAGCTTCCTTTAGAAAAGTAAAAGTAAAGCTTCATTATTGCAGAATAAATTTTGAAAATGTAAGTTTTAAAGGTTCAGATGGAAGTAAAACACAGTTTTTATTAGTAGTAGAAAAGGAAAATGAATTTGCTTTTACATTTGGTTGGCTACATATCATTCATTTTAAAAAGCAGGATAGCTAGTGTTCATATAGAGGTTTTCAATTTTTGCTGAAAAGTAGACTGTTCTAATTATTTATTTATTTGTTTACCACATCTGATCACCAGAGTACTAATTAAAATGCTGCAGAATTGTATGCTTCTTGTTAGTAAATATGCAGGTGGTTTTTTTGGTGTCGTTTTGGGGTTTTTTTTGTTTGTTTGGCTGGCTGGTTGGTTTTTACCTGGACATTCCAAAACTTGATCTACTGTGAAATTTAATTGTTACACATTGGTTGCTGACTCTGTGGTATATTGCAGGCAAGCACAATATTTATGACTCTCTTCTGTTTTTATTTCTAAGGTTTGTCGAGTTGCCTATGAAATTATGCAGACATTGCATCCAGATGCTTCAGCGTATTTCCATTCTTTGGATGATATCTACTACTTTGGGGGACAGAATGCCCACAACCAGATTGCTATTTATGCTCATCATCCACGAACTGCTGATGAAATTCCTATGGAACCTGGAGATATAATTGGAGTAGCTGGAAACCACTGGGATGGTTATTCAAAAGGCATCAATAGGAAATTAGGAAGAACAGGCCTGTACCCATCCTATAAAGTTAAGGAGAAAATTGAGACAGTCAAGTATCCTACATACCCAGAGGCTGACAAGTAGATTAAAAGGAAGACATTTGGCAGTAATTCTCAATTTTGATTGGTTCGAACCAGTCAGCGCACTAACTAATGGTTTATATGGGATTTGAATTTGCATTTTAACATGCAGTTAAAATCAAAGCCTTTAGCAATGAAACTGGATAAGAAGCTGAGAACAAATGGATGGGCTATTATCTGAACTTACTCTTAAAAATTTTTTGTTATATGCACTCTCACACATTCACACACAAAACTACATGCAACAGGAAAACTGTTGTTTTATACTTTTTGTCTCTTTTCAGGATTTGTCCCAGTCATTAGTCTTACGTGAGCTTTGGGCTCTTTTCTCTGCCATTAAATGACAATAATGTTCAGACTTATAACACTGCCACATTGTGTAATTTGAGTGACATGAACATATTTTGTATGTGCAAAATTTAAAACATGGTGCCTATATTTGAAAAATTTGTGACCTTTTTAGAAGAGCCATGCCTATATTACAATGGGCAAGAGTCAATCTTCAACTGGTGTTACCGTGACCACTGAACTTGCTTCAAACAACAGATTCAGATTTCAGACTAGATTTCTTTACAAGTTTATTTTTAGCATTCCATTGATTACTTCTCATCATTAATAAAATAAAGGATGCATCCAACAATAAAATAGTCACTGTCTGTTAGGAATTTTTGTAATACCATGAACAGATTCTTTAGTATTGATAATGTTTCTGGACATTGCCTTTGATTGAAAAAAAACAAAACACAAAACCCACAAAGGAAAAAGTAGCTGGAGTTTCATTGAATTTTTAAACACTCATTATGTAGTACAGCTGCTTAGTGGCACAGTGTTGCTCAGTTCTGTGGACAGTGGGTTTCAGCAGGATGACTTCGGTGGCTCAATTTCTTACATTTACTCTCTAGCACTGTTCTTTTACCTTCTGTGTTTCTCTTTTGAAAATATTTTTTTTTAGGGTATTATAGATGGCCATTTATCATTTTGGCATTGAACGTAGTTACTTTTAAGGAAAATACTTCAGGTTATCCCCTTTATAGAACCTGTCAATCTAGAATACTCTAAAAAAATCTAACAGTTTACCCTAAAAATATTAGGTTCCAAGGAAATATACACAAGGATGAATTTTTATGCATGACATAAAATTGTTAGTAATTCTTAGTGTTTTGAAATCTGTTGCTAGTCTGTTCTCTATTAAGAGAAGAGATAATTTACAAAATAATTTTACAAACAAATTTGTAGATTGGGGGGTTGTGTGTGTATATATATATATATATTAAAAAAAATGTACTAGATATCAAGACGTTATGTCCAAATAGAAAGACTATTAATAGCATTATACAGGTTCCAGTGCAATCCAGTCTGGAATACTGGAAGTGCAGAAAATGTTTACTATTCAGACACTGAGAAAATGCCACATGAGTAAAGATTAAAAAGCATGGCTGGTTGACCTTACCAAAGCAAAAGTTAAAAGGATGTTTAATTATATTTATTAATAGACCGAGGACAGTGTTGACGTAACAAATGGATGCACTTGACCACAAATAAATTTTAGGCTGAAAGGTAAAACGAAATCTCTGGTGGTGTGAAGTTCAGCAACAGTCTTCCAATTGAAATAGAGGTGAGTAAGATGGAACTTGACTGGCATGTAGAGGAATTAACAAAGTAGTTCTCCCTGACATTACTTGCAGGACTGGTCCTATAGATACCTTCCAGTTATGTGTTCCTCAACTGAAAAACTAATAACAAAATCAAAGTTGAAAACTGCTGTGGAAAAAAAAAAAGATAAATTGCCTGTTAGCTGTATTAAATAGACATATCAGTAAAAATGAGCATAGATACCAAATGGGTTTTAAAGATGGATTGAAGGATAAAGGCAAATGAGTAAGAGTGGCCGAGAAACGCTGAAGACTAAGGATGGCTAGAATTAACTGGTGTTTCTGTGTTTTGGAACTACTAAGGAAGCTGTTTGATTAAGTGATTCTGATAAATTTTTCACTAACTTAGCCAAACTTGCGGTATTTCAGAGGCACAAATGTAGGCTAAATTGTAACTTTTTCTTACTTAAATTTGAATTGTACATAAAAAGCTATTGCTGCTTTCCTTTTCAACTTGGGAGAAAAAAAATCCAAACCCACAAACATTTCTTCCTTAATGATTAGATCAATGCATTTTATCTTTGGGAAAACTAATTTAATTATTTCTCCACAAATACTACATTATCTCTTTGATATTTATAGATTTTTGAAAATGTTTTATTTTTGAAGCTCTTTACTTACAGCTTCAGACCTCATCATTTCCAGCTCATTTCTTACAGTATGATGCAGAAATAGTATTTGTAAATGAATTAACGTGTGAAAATTCCTTCATAGTCAGGTAACTCAATTGAAAATATCACTAAAGATGATAAAAAACAGAACATCTAGGATGTGCCCAAAGGCAAGAGCAGATCTTCTGATGAAGTAATGAGAGAACTGAAAACACTGATGTTATAGAAGACATACCTATATAATGTGGCAGTTCCTCAACAGACTACACCTGACAAAATAATGGCAAGGTACATGTGCCTCCTTACATATTTTAAGTACCTAATGAATAATTAGCTCATCATCTTTGACAGAATGATCACAAAATGGTATGAAATTATAAAATTATTGTTAATAATTAAGAAACATACTAATGTAGATGCTATGACCTTATTCCCCTGGTCCGTATGATCCGTTAGTGCTTATAATGCAGTACATCTCAGAGGAAGAAACCTAGCAATAGACTGCTTACTAGATGCATCTGTGTCTAGAGATTTGTTTCCTTTAAGACTACCAGTTAGTTACATCTTAGAATCCTGGGACCTTGGGACATTAAAACTTAATTTGTTTTATATTAAACAAAATAAATATTAGAGACTTTATTCTCAGTTACAGTGGATTCCAGGTAGTATGGAAGGATCCATGGGTAAAGAAAATGAGACCCACAGATTTTTATTGTAGCTCACAGAAAAGTGAAATAACAGGAAATAAAAAATTTTGTCTTCAATACCTGAAAGAAAGCCGAATCTCTTGGAAGCTGTGAACTCATTAAGATACTAGCCAGAATGCTTGCAAGCAAGCACGTATACATCTTGTTTCTTCTGTTCGCCTTGTAGCTCTGCAACAATCCAGTCATGTAATTTTTGCCTCATACCAAACCACCATGTCTGACATCCGTAAAACAAAGACAGCCCTCATACTCTTTTAAACAAGCTAATGTTCAATTAAATTTTTCCTCTTTAAGAAGCATTTGTGTGTGTGTGCGTGCGTGCATGTTGTGTTCATAAAAATAATATGAACAGTAGTCTTTCCTTCTATGCTGTTTTACATTGTCATTGTCACGTTCTCTGTAATAACTTATTTGCCAGGTAAATGTAGTCTCTGGAAACTGAATATTCTACTTGCTTCTTACCAGCTGGGCTAAGAAATTTATTCTGAGTGGTTCAGTTAACTAGTCTTCTGTGACATTGGTGCATCTGGAGACTGGGGTCATCATCAGCAGTTTGCTGCTACCACCGCAATTACACCAGCCTGAGTTCTGTCTCTGATTTTCAGTCCAGCCTACAGTCAGATGCATGGGATTCCCAAGCCTCCTCTTCCAACATCCTGTCCCTGTGAACTTAAGAGTATTATGGATTTGTTCATGAAGGGTGATGTTTTATTTCAAAATTTTTAAATATTTGCCTTCAGAGAAGTTTTTTGTCTACCCCTTCTACCACTGAATTTTAAGGAAACTTGCAATTACCAGAAGGATTTCTCTCCTTTACCAATTCTTCAGAAAAGAGAAGTGATGAGTCCTTTCTTATGGAGAGAGATTCACAATGTGGAAGTTTCCTCTGTAATGGGTTTTATGTTTCTTTGGTATGCAATTATAAAATAAGGGTCTTGTCTTCTGAGATAGGAACATAATAGAATATAAAAGAGAAAAATTTCATTACAAATTCTTGATAAGGAAAGGGAGATCTTCCTTCATGCTGGCAGAGTAGCACCTACCATTTGGAACTTTTTCAAAACAGTGAATTGAACTTCTGTTTTTCCAGGTTATAAGTTTCTTTGCAATGTAATCCCTCAAGTGTCTGAAGAATCCAGGTAAAAATCATTTGCTTAGTTTGGGAGGTGGAAGAAGAGAGTCCGGTAAGAAGACATGATATTGTACTTTTAATTTAATTTGCTATATCTGTTGATAAAACCACAGATAAACCTTTCAATGCTGGGTTAAAGACCTCTGCCAGCAAAAGCATTCTGCTCTTTGCCAGAAACACTTAAAATTTTCAACCTCTTTTTTGATTTTTGCCTAATACCAGTCCCAGTCGTGTGTAAACATCATGCTGGTCATATTCTGATATTCTGGTTGTTACTATACTACAGTTTCATTCATATTTGGGTGGCCTGGGAGCAGGCTGTCAAAGAGCACAAACTGTTTGGTTTTCTTATCATGTTGAGCTAAAATTGCATTTAAAACTCACAAAAATTCCATTTCCCTAAGGCACCACTAGAATTCTAATAGTAGTCTACAGACTTTTGTCAAGGTCCTCTATATGCTCCTGCAAGCTTATCGGGAGCAAGACTGAAGCAAAGACAGTTATGCATAAATATCAACTGCAAACAGGTTGGGTTAGACTTCATAATATCCTGTTCATTTCTAAAAAGCGTGAAATATGGCACTGCATGATACAAATAAGAGGATAGTATAAAATTTCCAAGTCTGCAGAAAAAATTGCTAGTCTGTCTGCCTGCATCACTGGTTGCATTCACTGTGTACAAGATTATCTCAGAATCAAAGTATATATGGCAGCAGTCTTCCAGCATTACTACAGGCATCTGAGAATCCCTTCAACTGATGTGTTTGCTCCTCTTTACCCCTTTTGGTGCCATGTACAAATACCTAACAGTGCTGATGATGGTTGCTATTCAGTGGAACCTTCCTTTATTTTGTATGCTCATTTCCTTTGACTCAACTCACTTGTCAGCAGAATCCTATTGCTACTGTAATTCAAGCAAGTTTGGTTTAATGCAAAGGCATGCCAATCGTTTACACCAAAATGTCTTTACCATTGCTCAAAATTAACTTCACACTCTTAGGCTAACTCCTAAGGATACACTATTGAGGGAAGGAGCAATCTCCACTGGACTATTCTGTACATGTTGTATAACTGCTGACACATACTGGTTTTACTTTCAGTTTTGCATGATTTTTCCACTTTATACAGACTCAAGATTTTGTTTTTATTTTAGTGTATTTATGAAGGGTTTTCTTGAGCATGGTGAGACAAAGTCCCAACTATCCTACGTTTTCTTCAGGAACCATATTGGATCTTACCACATTTCCTCTAATTGTCTTAAAGACATCCTCCAGTCACACCATTTTAAAAGAATCGACATTTCCTGAAGACTATGACATTTTTATGCTTTTCCATTAGCCCCACTGCCTACTTGCATCTGAGCCTGATCTGCCATGGTTGTATGAACTACCTTCAAACTTTTCTGCTTTGTGTTTTGATTTCCTTGCCTAGTGGCTAATGGTCATTACTTGACTAGGAATCCAAGGAACAGCAAGTGTCCGTATTTAATTTTTCATAATAATGTGAAAATATATTTCTTGCAGGTTTTTTTTTGTTTT